CTACCATTTGCTGGTCTTTGAGCGAAGCTGCGCAGCCTCTACCCTTCTATAAAGGGGTTTTTTAGAAACGCCATCCTAAAAAGGTTGTCATGAACTGATCGACATTGTCGAGCTTTGTCCCTTGAAGGCATACTACATGACAAGACTGAGGCGACGATCGTGGCATTGACCATAAAGTGGCGATCCGGGCAGTTTAGCCCCCTCACGTTCCAACCCAGGAGATTTATCGGTTGTTGTAACATTATGTAACCAGAAGTACCCTGGAGCCTGGCATTCAACAGAAGCAGCCTTAGCAGCAACAACAATGCCCAGAACATCTCTAGGGTATACAGAGAATAACCAACTGGCCTTGGAAAGCATAACAACAACAGCACTTGCCCCTCCAGCGAAGACAGCAATGGGCACCCAACGATTACATGGCCAGCGGCCAACAGATAGCTTGCTCCCAGGAGACTATTGCGGAAATGTAACCAAATGTAAAAGTCCACTCTTGCAACATTGTTTTGATGTTTTCACATACACAACATGGGCACACTGAGCCGATATAAGTACCGCAAGAGAAATGATGGTATAGGAACATTTGATTCATACAAATTGAATGATTTAATGGAAGTCCCTCACGATGCCAAAACAAGCACACATAACGAATAATTTATAAAGTAGTACAGTAGCCACCGCCATCATGAATTACCTGCCAGAGTCTTCACCTGTGTCATGAGTTAAGTGTATCCGCCAACTACATACACCGCAATGCAAGATCCAGCAGTTATAGAGCAAAATAGAAGTCCTTTACAGAAGCTCTTGGAAACCAAGCTCGCCAAAAATATAATGTTTCCATCCTTGTTGTTAGACATTTCTACAGAAACAATTTCTTCAGGTTGTACCCGCAAAAGAGCAAAAAAGAAAGGAATGCAGAAATAAAAGAATCTAAGTGTTAGTTTCTGTATCGAGGTCGTATACCGAAGATAATCCAGGCAAGCATCCAAGGTCAACGGCACTCCTGTCATGCCTGGACGCTTCCATGATGTGTCAGTGTAAGCAAGTGCCCTCTGGCCAAGTAGATCATTGAAATGTACGCTGATCTTGCTTGCGTAATCTGGAGCTGGTAGTTGCTCGACTAATCTGGACCTCATAGCGCGTAATGGGTAAGCTCCATCTCCACATATTTTCAATCATCGGGGTCCATCTCCTCATCTTGCTCTGAGGATTTATTTGTGTCGCTTCTATCGGATTCCTGCTGCGTGTCTTGGCTAGGATCATCTTCGGGCAACTCACCCTCGTAATCCTCACTTTGAGGTTCATTATTCTTGGTAGACACGATTGCCAGGGTGCGAACCATCCAATCAGGGCAGTCTTCTTCACCTCCAAAAAGGAGCGCACCATGCTTATCTTTCACCGGTTGGACAACAGGTGACTTCGCCGTTTTGCAAGAGCACTCCGGTAACGGGTGTGCAAGAAAAGATGCAGGTTTTGACATCATAGCTGACATTTTGATGCCTTCTGTGCCTGCACTGTTATTGAGATGCTGACGTGCAGCCATTGTCCAATTCCGTGGTGGGTGATACAGATGATCACTGACATTTTCAAACAGTGTAGCAACAGTCTTTCTGTTCATATGAAAATAAGGGAATCAGTCATCATGTGCGAAATTACATGTCAGTGAAAAATCTACATGGGCAAACAATGCTTTTGAACACCACTTAAATATGCTACTAAATTCTCAAGTGGCCTAGCTAGTCTGTACATAGCTTTTGCTTGGCGCAAAACCTAATGTGTTATCTACCTACATCCCGACATTAAGCATCTAGATTGTCAAAAGAATAAAAGATGTTTTTGAACACCACCTATACATGTACTAAATTCTCAAGTGACCTAGCCAGTCGTATGTACATATGTTATCCACCTACATCCTGACATTAAGCTATCTAGACTGTCAAAAGTTGCATTTGAACACCACCTATATATGTACATGGCTTTTGCTTGGAGCAAAAATTAATGGGTTATTCACCTCTTGCATCCTGAAAACTACTTACTACTGCACATATGCCAGCAATGTTTTTCCAAACAAAAAAGGTTCAATTAAAAGAACAATTATTCTTAAGTTATAAGCAAACTGTACGAAGTCAATAGTACTGATAATAATGGTGTTATACCTGTCAGGCCTATAGGTTATACCAGATGGGGTTTGGTATAACCGGTGCCCCATAATCAAACTTGAGTAGTCTGGCCAACCACTCCCATCATTGTGAAACCCAGGGAAGAATGCATCAGCTTGAACAGAAACAAAATAATCAAGCGCGTCCCAGAGCAATCGGTGAGCTTGCCTCCTAAATTCAATGGGCGACGGATCAGGTTCCGTGTCATTCTCACCAATCCACCCATACCACCCTTCCTTCTCATGGGCATAAAATGGTCTTGCAGGAGGTGGAGGCAGCGGCCTCGGACGAGGCCCTGCTTTTTTCCATTCCTCAATGAGTTCCTTCTCGCTCTTGGGAGGTGGAGGATGCGGCAAATCAGAGGAGAGAGGAGACTCTGGGCCAACTAAATCAGATAGCTCCCTCCGACTACACAAGGAAGTGCGATCAACTAAGTTGGCATACATAGCTCGTAGAGGAATGAGTATTCTTTGCCCACCAAAAGTTTCAGAACCAGCCAAGTATATTATTGTAGTTGATGGATAACCTAATGCTTGGAGTAGAAGTCCAACCTGTAAGTACAAATAGTTTACACCATAAGCTTGGAAGTAAGCATCTATTACGAGTTAAACACGGTAATAAGCAAACCATGTTCCCCTAATTTCATGGAAGAGCAACAAGGCGCAATCCTAATTGTGTTCTACACAAAGAACAATGATTCATTGAATAATGCCACTTTGAACTGAAGATTAGAAGGCCCCAAAGTATAATGCATGACTACATTTTGTTTCTCTTCTTTTTCTGAATGTGCACGCCATGCCCATATATATTTTACTGGCATACCTATATGCATGTGAATAAGGTTTGTAGTATCTCATTTTTCACAGCTGAAGCTCAATTCATTGAGCTTTGCAGTTCACACGCAAAGGTTTAAACATGAAGTTAAAACCAACCTAAGGTCACCAAGTGTACATAAAATATGGGGAAGACAACCAATAACTAGCAGTATAACTATCTCACTATGCTGATCGCATTTTGACACCCTAAGATTTCCAATGTGAAACAATGATATGTTTTGCAAGCTACACACAAAAGCTGGAAGCACTATTACATATTTCTATTAAGCAGATGAAACTTTACTCAAGTATGTGTATCATGAACAGTTCAATGCCAGATAATCAACCAAGTTGACTTTAGCAAACCATTAGAAGCAAACCTCACCTCTTCTGGCATCAGTGGACATGAACCATTTTTCTTTATGGACACTGAATCAACAGTTAGTTGTTCCTTCACGGTTCCTCGTTTGATCATCTGATTCCTTCTATACTGAATCAATTCTGTATGGATGTCCTAGAAAAATCAAGTAACAACCAGTCACATAAATTCCATAAATAGACATTCAACAGAAATCCGTCCAACCTTCACATTAGAATAGAAAGAAACCATTCTAACTCCACCAACCTGGAAAAGTTCAGCACAACCATGAAAAGCTAGAGTATCTCTTAGCAATCCTGGATGATATGCCAGATAAGGACGGCCAGATGCTCGCAACCTATACAAATACACAAGAACTATGAGAGAACAGCAAAAGCAAATAAATATAGCAGATTCATATTAAACTGGGGAAGTTTAAAGGGTATAATTTTCAATTTTACATATGTATATCACCCTACATCTAGAGTGAGCAACCGAAAACTCCCTAGTACAACCAAATATTCCAGAATGTAAAAGCAACATCGCATTTTCTTAATAAATTATAAGCAAGACAACTAGCAAATTGAAGCTTTGTTAAAGGCTTCAAAAGTGCCCCAGCAATACGATGAGAGTTACAGTCAATGCAACCACACAATATATATTGGCTCAGGCCACTGGCAACTACAGATAATTCAAAACACGAACGGTGATCCATAGCATGTACAAATATTAGAAAGACAGAAAGCATCACCTTCCTACTATTTGGCTACCGAGAGACCGAATTTCTGGACGGAACTTGAGAGCATGGAAAGCTACCCTGCACCTAAGTCTCTGAAGTTCCTCCAAGCTTGCAGGAAGAATTGACTGCAAAATCATCATACTCTAAATCCTCGATGTACCACGAAAAAAAAGGAAAAAAGAGTTAGTGGGACCTGGAGGATACCTGGAGACATTTACCTCCATTAACGATTATCCCAAGGACTTTTGATTTGACAAGTCTGGGCAAGACATCTGTGGTGTAATAGTCTGAAGTGGCTGTATTCTTAGGAGATACTGTTGGGAATTTGATCTTTTTTCTAGCCTCTCTAAGATCCTTTGGCAAACACCGCACGATTGGCACGTCAACGGAAAGTGCAGCAATGAAGTGTTCTTCATCATAGAGATACGAAAAACTTTTGAAATTTGAACTGCATAGTCAAAACAAGGAAAGTAGTAGAGCATTATTTAGTGGTCAATATAAGACAGCGTACAGGTAATAGATAAAGCCGCAAGCTGAATATACAAAGAGCATGAGAAGGTGACCTGATGCCTCTTGCACGAGTTGTCGCTTGTATCTCAGGAATAACAAGAGTGGCATTTAAGAGCCTGGCAACGGCGACAAGATCACAGATCTAACAAACAGAAATATGTCATATTCCTACAGCACAATGACAACACAAATGGCAATTAGCACTAGGAAACTTACTGAAGACTGTATCTTCTCAAAGCCACCGTAAATCTTTGCATAAATAAAACCATTATCCTTAGCTGGAGCTGTAACATGGCGTATCAAACAAATCAGACTATTGATCAAGCGTGAGAGTTTGAATTGGGAGATACAACTCATAAAGGTACATTTTAACGAAAATACTGAATATACAAATAACACCAGTTTAATTAACCAAACACTTCCTAAAATGTTATAAGCTCTGCAGTAATTACAGATGATGTGACAAACTTCCAAATAAAGCAAAGCAAAAGAGGTATACAAGCATATTTATCCACAGTAGTATGGAGGAGAAAATCATTAATCAGTAACCAATCTAAGATCAACTACATTATACTAGGGAGTGGTGATTACAATGTAGCCACAAAACAGGGGAGAGCTGAATCAATCAAAATGAATCAAAGAATAAGATGTAAATAAAAGCATCAAGTATGTGTGCCTATTCAATGTCTGAAAAAGGTAATCCCGCAAAAAAAATGTCTGAAAAAGGTAGGTTGCGCTGTTTGCTGTTATAAACAAACTGAATGACTAAGCTAGGAATAGAAGTTGCAAGCAAATTATAAGTTGAGAGCCAAATTACCAGGGTACAATTGTCTAGGTTTTGCATAAGGGTGTAGGAGATCAAGTGTACTCAATGGGCCCCACAACCTACGGGGTCGAGGCTTCTGCCATGACCATGAAGAAAGAGGAAAGAAGATATTAGCTCCAAAACAACTCTTTCCAAAAAGATATGATGAATCTAAATATCAGCATCTGAACTGTGGATTCATTTGAAAGTAATACTCATGACTTACCGATCCAAATGGAAGAACATTGTCCAAGTTGTACTTACTAATTCCCCCGGCAGAATAATTTGCAAGGAAAAGGTGCACCAGCAGCGACAGCATCGACAAGATGATGCCGACGGCCGTGGCCAGCTTGAATTTGCTTTTGAGGAGCATCTTATTTCATTACTCTCAGTTCCAAATCCTGCTGAACGGATTCAATATCAGCGTTTTGGGCAGATAAACCAGGCCTATCTGAGATGCCCCACAAGCTACAAGCGGAACCAGAAATGCAAGGCTCATATTTGAGGAGTATGTTCTCTAGTTAATCTTAAGCTAAATGTTCATCCGGAGACTGGGGCAGATCTTATCGCGTACACTACATTGAACGATAATTAGGTTCCCTCACCATGAAAACCCCTCATTAATCAACACCCACCGCGGCTCGCCAGACGCGCAACCCCCCTCTCCCGTCCACGGAGCCCGCCCACGCGATCGAACCAGTCGCCTCCCCGCACCGTGAGCGACCCCGCGAAGGGGCGCAAGGATCCATCACTAGCGCGGAGCGCCCACGGCTGGGAAGTCGGGATCCAGATCCCCACGCGACGCAGGAGTACAGAGGTACGTACAATATAGATGGAGGGGAACGGGATGCCGTACCTGCCTGCCTGCGGCGGCGCCCCACGGCGGACGGGCGGCGGAGGGAGAGTTAGGGTTAGGCGAAGCAGGAGGGCTCCGATTCGGAGGAGCCACTCGGGGCGGCGACCTGCGGAGTGGAGAGGTGGAGTGAAGTGGGGCGCTCTCCTCTCTCTCTCGCTCTCTCTCTCTCTCTCTCTGCCTCCCTCCCCGTCTCTCTCCTCGGCGAGGTGGCGACCTGCGTGCTCTGGTCGAGGTGGAGCACGTGGAGGGTGGGTGACCTGGTGGGGCCGGTCAGTCAGTGGATCGAACGGCAACGCCCTGGTCTCTCATCCGATTCATCATCCTTCCTTTCTTTTTCCTTTGCTATATTCCCAATGATGTTGCCGAAAGCAATAAGTGCTTCCTCAACAAGGAGATCAACAAAAGTAACAAAGGAGACAATTTGATTCATTCGTGTATCGTTTATGTATGGATTGTTGAATTGATGAATTGGTTCTGTATTATATGATCTACCTGCTTGTATTTGCATGAAGATGAGGGTTTGAATATGAGGGCGCAGTTGTCCAGACGGGCATATGGGGGCAGGCTAGCATTGTATACAAACACGTCCACGGATATTTAGGGGGTCAAATGTATTCGGTCGGTTTGAAGGTGCTCTAAGATACAAGTACAATATCAATTATAGGGCTCATCGAGTTAGGAGAACTTGATGAGATCTAAGTATCAATTTGGGCATAAGCGGTATAATTGCTAATGTGTAATGACTCCCGATTGTGTAGTCCTTTATATAAGATCATCATTGTCGTCTTTATATTGGCTCGGTCTGGTGGTCGCCATGTCGGTGCGTTAGTCATGTAGGCGAAGAAGTTTCAACCTAAGTTGTTCTACAACACATTGGTCGCTGCCATGTAACCCGTAAAGATTCCTTGATTGGTCTTGTGGAAAGGATAGCACTTGATTGTTGACGTTCCTGGCCCATACTTGAGCCTTGTCAGGTCCAGTTATAGATTCACATCGTCAAGGTTCAGTAGTTTACTTATTATCGACGAACCCACCATCACCACTTGCATTAAAGATTGGGTTACAACTAATGTCCATGTAGATATTGACCGCGTGGGCGTGGTGAGCAATCTTTAAATAATTTGCTACTTAAAAATAGTGTATCATTCCCTTTCCTGGTGGGACGGAACGTGTCCTGCTTGCTTTTGTCCGACTCCCTACCACACTATGCTTCTCTCCCGCACACAAGGTTTTTCCAGTTCGTCCTACACGTTCCTCCCAGCCTCCTTGAATCATGACGCTCAGACCGTAGGTCCCTTCCCAAATCCTTCGACGAACCCCTGTCCCTTCTCCTCTCGCTCCTGACACCCATATCTAGGGTTTCGGTGTCGCCAATCCCATCCAACTCTTGATGACGTAGCTCAGGACCCTATGTGAGTCGAAGATGGGTGACAAGAAAAGGGTGAAAAAATAGCGTACATGGCTCCAACAACACCATGTAGTAGTCATATGCCTCACCGGTCTGGCGCCGACAGTGACTTGCGCGAAGGGTTCTTGGTTTGTGGTGTAAGGTGATCTGGTGTAAAGGTAAGCGCCGAACTGATGGTTTATGTTAGTTATCTCGATGATTGGTGTTCTATATCTTTAGTGATTACTATAGAGTTGAATTTGCCGAATCGGGTTGTCTTTGTGCATCAATGTGTCAACAAGGGTATAACTATAACAATTTAAGAGCCCCAATAATTCTCAGTAGTAGTGCAAACTAAAGCATTAAACAATCGAACCATGAGTGGCCTTTCATTGTTAGAATGATTTTATGTGCTACGGTGAAGAGAATAAGCACTGAAAGCATGCTTGCATTCACTTTAGCTCGTTCATTGTGTTACAGGGCGGCGTGTTCACTATCGTGCATGATGCTCGCTGCTTCACTGTCAAGTGATTGTTGTTTTGACCAATCTTATACGATTTGTTTGAAGGAAAAACTTGTGGTTTCTTGGAAGTACAAGTAACTTTCGGCAACAATTTAGTAGCTTTTATAAGTTGGACTGTTTCGGGAGTTTTTCTAATAACCTTCACTGTACATACACTGTCATCAGAAGTGAGTTAATGTTTTCTTTATCTTTGTAGAGTAAGTGTTTATGATGGAGCTCATTTGACTGAATTTGCTACTGAGTTGCCACATTTTAAGGTGCCACAATTGAATAATACAACACTTTTTGGTAAGGATGTTAGTGCATTCATATATATTGAAAAGAGATGTATTTGCTTTTTGTTGGAGGTTTTCTGTATATTTTATATATACTGTAACTTTGTAGACAACAATTTGCTTGCTAACCATCAAGGTCAACTTCTGCTATGCCCCTTTTCCTCAGTGCATGTGTGGCCACTTAAGGAGTACTCCCACTCAAGAGTAGTACTCCCTCCGATGGAGGGAGTATGTGTTTATCAATAAAGGGTTTTTTCATTCTAGTTTGAAAAAATATGTGCCTTGCTAACATTTTGAATCTATACCTGCAAGGAATTGAAAGTTGCATTCTTCGACATTTCTGATCTCTGAAAGTAACTCACAATAATTAGTGCATTTTATAGTAATTCAACTTTTGTTTATCTTGTTGCAGATGGATCCCATCAAATGAAAATAATTTGATCTCGTGGATCCTGATTTCGATGGGAAGATAAGACAAAGGTTGAATCATATACACCACAGGAGAAGAGATCTGAACAAACATCAACATTGGTCAAGTTTGCTGAGAAGGAGGAGTTTGAAAATTCAAACATTTTTATGGAGCCATCATTTTGTATCACATTTTTTACTATTGAAATGCACTATACTGGACTGGGGGGATGGGGGATAGCGTTGTCGATATAGGAAATCTTTGTTCCTTGGTCGGTAAGGGCATGTACATTGGTTCAGACAACCGGTTGTCTGCAGCGACACTCCATGTCACCTTTAGACAGAGGAAAAACACACCGTACAATAGACCATCTGTTTAACTGTCTGCAACACTCAAAAATTAGGAAAATAATGTTACTAGTCCAGACTAAATCTGCTGAAAGTCTCATCCACCTCCGGCCATTAGAGCCACCATCCGTGCAACTTCTGTGTGATGTGAAGGGCTCACGAGCCTGCCATTCTAGTCCAGCTAGCTCTATATTCATCCCACAGACGAAGATTGTGGACTGGACGAGGCCGGTGATGGGGGGAGTCTGGTCACAGCCGATCTGCATGATAGGTCAGCGGCAGCAACAATGTCAGAGGTGTTGGAGAAGAGGGAGTTGTGTCAGAATGTCAACAAGGGCGTCCCTGCGGCCGTCATCATCATCATGTCTGTCTGCATCCGGCTGAGGTACGGAGGATTGGAAGATTAATCCACGGACAGAGAGGCAGTGTCGTGGTTCTAAACCTGACAGTAGAAAGGGGTAGGTATGGAGAGGCAAGATCTTAGCTGTGGTGAAGATGTACACGCGAGATTTACGAGTTCAGGCCCTTCTCTGAGGAAGTAATAGCCCTACGTCTCAGTGCCCGAAGGCGATCGATTGGATTATGTGTGTTGTATTACAAAGAGTGCGAACCCTTGTGCCAGAGGAGGGGGTGGCTTATATAGAGTGCGCCAGGACCCCAGCCTACCTCAATTACAAGGGAACTAATGTACATAAAGTAAGGGGCGTTACTGGTAATGCCAGCATTAAGTACTCTTAATGCCCATGGAGACTAAGGAATGAATATCTGCCCGTTGCGCGTCCTACCGACTCCTAGTATTTGATGTAATCGAGTGGTTCCCATATGGTCGAGTGAAGGTAGAGAATTCTGGTCGAGTGATTGTATTGTCGAGTGGATTCTTGGTCTTCTCATCTTCTGGGGTATTGACCTTGGGTAGGGTGTGTAGGTCAGGCCTATGACCCTACCCCAGGTCTGTATCCTCATCAGTAGCCCCCGAATGGATTAAGGTGTGAGTGAAAGGTAGGTTGAAATTGAACCTGTTCCGAGCTTTGGGACTTCGAGAGTGCTTTCTATAAGTCTGAAGGCCTGCTTTGATATTTGACGTTGACTCAGTTGCCTTGATCCATTCAGCGCACAGTCGAATGAATTGTTGATCTCGTGTACCGAGTGTTATGTTGGAGCGCGGGATCTTTGGGCGTGATTGTCTGCAGTGTATACCGGATTTCGCGGGATATGAAATTTCGGGGGAGCGCGCCAAATGGGGGAGGCCGAAGCGGGCGGAGCGGATAAGCAGTGATTCCTCAATTCTCGCGCCACCTTTTTCGCCACGTATGCTGCGCGCGACTGTTGCGGGATTTGACGGGATGTCTCGGCCCCACTCGTCAGTGACTCGGAAATGACCTCATATAAGGCGACCGGACCGAGGCGTCTGCACTGTGCGCATTTTCTCTTCTTCCTCCTTTCTCTGCTTCTCCGCCGCACCTTCCTCTTCCACTCTGACGCTGTTGCCCCGTCGCTATGGTGAAGGACAAGACGGCGGCGCTAGAGCGTGCAAAGAAGACGAAGGATGCGGCAAAGGGCAAGAAGCAGCAGCGCG